CCCATTACGATATACTAGGATGAACTAACAGTTCGTAAATGATATTCCACTGCGAATCGAAAAGGGATCTCTGGTCCTTGGAACCCAGCTTACCTAGAATGGCTGACAGCGCCACCAGAACCATTACTATTCAAAGGGTCCTAGTTCTATCTACAACACCGAGTGGAGAGCCTTCGGAGTACTCTGTAGCCTCCATTCCAAGACCCGTGCTCCCAGCCACAGATCAAAATCCAATCTCATGCAAGGGGTAACCTGAGGATCGAACCTACTCCCAGAATCATTCGTTCACACAAGGTTACTCTTCAGGGGCTTAGGGCACAGGCAGGCAAAACATCAATAGTACAACGCAACAAAAACCGAACCTTGAATGAATAAAGGTCTAATTTCCATGGTTTTCCTCTCTTATCCATGGATGCTATCTAAGCTTCTCCTGCAGTGGCGGTAATGCAAGACATAAGCCCCTTCCCACGGGCCCTATGTCGATCATATCTCCACATTCTTTTGATCTGTTCGTGCCCTAATGTGGCTAGGATTCTACCTGCCCCTCAAGGCCCCGCCTTGGAGCTCATAGGGCAGGATACTAAGGTTTCACAGGTTCACCTTTACGGCCTCATCGTCTCAGACATAGCTCAATATAGATCCCTTGGCAGTTCTCTTGCCCCATCTCTCTCTCCCTGTCTTGCTTTCTGGCCAAATATGTGTGAGTCCGCTGGCGATCATCCCTCTAGGATCCGGGTCTTCTACTCCATACACTATTGCTTTTCTTTTCTTTGCTTTTCGGTCGAGAATTCCATTTCAGCTGATAGGAAGCTGTGACTGGGGCTAGGAGCTGTGTTCTATTGTCTCGCCCCAGATAGGTACCAGAACCCTTGCAAAAGAGGGCCTATAGAATCAGAATTGATGTATCATAGCTTTTGTAGCATTTCAATAGCTATAAAATAAGGAGCTGCCTCACAACACTCGAGTCTACCACTCTAACCGAGTCCATCTTCTTCGAATCAGGTGTACAACAATCAACATCCCCATCGATCGAGCACCCATGGGCCTGAAAGTGAGACTGTTTCTTCAGCTTTGCTACCGATCAGCACTCCTTATTTCTGTATGGAGTTCCCCCCCCCCCCCCCCCCCCCCCCCCCCC